AGCTGGTGGTACTGGAGGTACTGGAGGTGCTAGAGCTGCTGCTCCCGGAGGTGATCACACTAGAGGTGCTGGAGCTGCCGGAGCTGGTAGTACTGCTGGTGCTGGAGGTACTGGAGCTGGTGGTACAGGAGGTACTGGAGGTGCTGGAGCTGGTGGTACTGGAGGTACTGGAGGCGTTGGAGCTGCTGGTCCTAGAGGTGCTTGTACTAGAGGTGCTGGAGCTACCGGAGAAGGTGGTGCTGCAGGTGCTGCAGGTGCTGGAGGTACTACTGGAGCTGCTGGCACTAGAGGTGGTGGAGGTACTGCTGGTGCTGGAGGCGCTGGAGCTGGAGGTACTGGAGGAACAGGAGGTGCTGGAACTGCTGGTCATGGAGGTGCTCGTAATAGAGGTGCTGTAGCTGCCGGAGCAGGTGGTGCTGCTTGTGCTGGAGGTGCTGGAGGTGCTACTGGAGATGCTGGCGCTGGAGGTGATGGAAATATTGCTGGTGCTAGAGGTGCTCGAGCTGGAGGTACTAGAGGTACTAGAGGTACTGGCGATGCCGGAGCTGGTGGTGCTGGTGGTGCTGGAGGTGCTGGAGGTGCTACTTGAGCTGCTGGTGCTGGAGGTGCTGGTGCTACTGGTACTGGAGGAGCTGGAGCTGCTGACGGTATGGGTACTGCCCCGCGCCGACCGTTTTTCTACCCGCAGCCGCAGTCGTCCCTGCCACCGCCTGACTCGGTCCTTCGCCAGGTTCTTAGTCTCCCGTCTTCCACTAGCCTCACTCCACCTCTTCTGTGTCCACCGACAGACCAGTCTCAGCCACAGCTACTGACTGGCTCCCCGCTCCCTGCTCCTGCTCCTCACACTGAGGTGACTGAGTCTCTGACTGAGCGTCGTGAGCCTGAGACTCATGCTTCCACACTTGTTCGTGCTCGTCGTATAGCTCTTCCTCGTCCTCCTGCTGTCCCAGGCACTCACGGTATGGCACTTCGTCCTTCCTCTGTTCCACAGCGTGTTCTCTTACCTGAGCCTCCCGTGTCCTCTCTTCCGCACGTTCCTGACCCTGAGTCCGACCTTGCTCATGCTGCCAGTCCTACTTTCACTCGTCTCCTCGCTACTGTCGTCATTGACCCTGACTTTGAGTCTACTGCTGCGTTCGCCCTAGTCACTGAGCTAGTCGACTTTGCAGCTAGGAGTCGTCTCGACTACGTCGCGGGTCTTGTTACTGAGTCTGAGTCTGTCTGTCCTCCGTCCGTCGGGTTGAGCCTGCCCTTAGCAGTGACGTCCTTGAGGACAGGCCGTTTGAGCTTGAGTGTCTTGCGGCCGTTTTACCTCGTTTCGCATACATGCTGCTTTGCCCTGAGGGAGACCCGGATGCACTTGACATCCCTACCTCGCGCTCTTACGCTGAGGCGATCGCGGGTGAGTACTCCTTTCAGTGGCAGACAGCCATGGACACAGAGATGGCTTCCTGGAAGTCCACAGGCATCCGGGTTTTCAGAGTGAAGCGGCCGCCAGGTTCTCCGCCTGCCTTCAAGGCGCGTTACGTTGCTCGAGGCTTCAGTCAGCAACAGGGGGTCGACTTCTTCCATACCTTCTCCCCCACCCCGAAGATGACTACTCTTCAGGTGTTGCTGCATGTTGCAGCACAGCGTGACTACGAGCTGCACTCCCTCTACTTCTCCACAGCCTTCTTGCAGGGCAGCCTTCACGAGGAGATCTGGCTACGCCGCCCACCTGGCTTCACCGGGTCGTTTACTGCAGGTACACAGTGGAGCCTCCGGCGACCAGTCTATGGTCTCCGCCAGGCACCTTGGGAGTGGGACGACACACTGAGGACGACACTTGCGGCTCTTGGGTTTGTTACTTCCTCTGCTGACCCGTCGCTGTTTCTACGCACCAACACTCCTATGCCGCCGTTCTACGTTCTCGTGTACGTCGACAACTTGGTTTTTGCTACTGCTGACACTGAGGCATTGGCCCTAGTGAAGGCGGAGCTGAAGAAGAGACACACCTGCACTGACCTGGGTGAGCTGCGGAGCTATCTTGGCTTGTAGATCACCCAGGACAGAGCACACCACACCATCACCCTCACTCAGTCATACATGGTGCACCAGGTCCTTCAGCACTTCGACTTCTCGTGGTCCTCGCCACAGCCCACTCCAAATCTACCGGCCACTCACTCTCAACTCCACCTTCGGACGAGTCCGTAGAGTCGAGTGGTCCGTATCCAGAGCTAATGGGTTGTCTCATGTACCTGATGACATGCACGCGACCTGATCTCGCGTACCCTCTCAGCCTCCTGGCTCGCTACGTGGCTCCCAGTAGACACCGAAAGTTGCACTGGGATGATGCGAAGAGGATACTGCGTTACTTGTGCAGTACATTGGGAATGGGGCTTGTGCTTGGAGGACGGGACTCAGTGGTACTTGTCAGAGGTCCATTGATGATCCCCGATTGATCCTAGGGAAGGGTTACAGGCACTTTGGCCTGGGGGGTTATGAGCGCATTCACCTGCTACATAAACAAGGCATTTTATCCCAGAGGTTAGTGGCTGAGATTCTGAAATGGTATAAGAGCGAAGGTCTCGGGTTCGAATCCCAGTGTGTGCACTTCGGGCATCCCATTGCGGGGGGGTGTCAGAGGTCCACTGGTGATCCCCGATTGATCCTAGGGAAGGGTTACAGGCACTTTGGCCTGGGGGGTTAAGGGCGCACTCACCTGCTACACAAACAAGCCCTTTTATCCTAGTCGTTAGTGGCTGAGATTCTGACAGTACTCACGGGTCACTCAGACGCTTCCTGGGCTGACGACCAGGCGACTCAGCGATCGTCACAGGGGTACACTTTCAGTCTTGGCTCTGGTTCTTTCTCGTGGAGGTCCACTCATTCGTCTTCTGTGCTTAGTTCTAGCTGTGAGGCCGAGATCTACGCTGGGGATATGGCTGCACAGGAGCTACGCTGGCTGACCTACCTGCTGACCGACTTGGGGGAGCGGCCTCGTTCTCCTCCAGTTCTGTATGTTGAGAGCAAGGCCATGCTTGCCTTGTGTCACGAGCAGAGACTGGAGCACAGAACGAAACACATTGCTCTTCGCTACTTCCTTACTCAAGAGTTGCAGCAGCGTGGTCAGGTTCGCCTTTCCTACGTGGCCTCTCGGGCCAACACTGCTGATGTCTTTACCAAGGCCCTCGGGGCTGGTGATCATCAACGCTTTTGCACCGCTCTTGGGCTTCTGCCCAATCTGCCTCACCTTCTTGTCTCTTGATCTTGCACTTGTTGTACACTGATATATATCTTTATACCTGCATGTTTACTCTTGCTATGTTGTGATCAATGTACTGCCTTGCTCTTATAACTCTGCATGTGAACTGGCCTTGTGGCCGCTTGCTTGTGCTCAGAATGCGTGGTGATCTTGAGATCCACCCTGGGCTTTGCTTTGCTTGCTTCTCCTGACTGGTCTTGTGACCATTGTTTAGTTTGGCTATCCCCTACTTCACCTGTGGGGGTGTGTCAAAACAATATATGATTGCTATCTTTCTTGGCTATGTAAGGGTTATCCTTAGAGGGTACATAACATTTCTCGACACTCTTGTACCCCCCCCTTTACCTATTCGACACTTCTCCTCTCTACTCTAGTCACCTAGTCTAGACTAGATTCTAACACCTCCGGGACTCTTGAATGGGTAGGGGGACTCTTATTGTGGCAGGTTTTGTGAGGACCCCCCCTTTGTCCCCGATCATCATAAGACCCCCCCTTTTATGTATACAGTAGTTATTATTGCTATTGTGCGTCAGATTTTTGTGGCATAAATTCGAATTTTGACACGCTTTTTGTGTCAGACTAGAATTCTGACACTTCATTTGTGTAAGACTCGAATTCTGACACATGTCTGACACGCCGCACGCGCGAAACTTGTGCGAATTCATTACGAATATAAGACCCCCCCGCCCCAAATTGAGTCGTACACCCTAAATATCATATTGATAACTGATAAATAAGTGTACCCCGGGTCTTAAAAAAATGATGCCGCCATAATGTCCACCCAAGCATATTTTTAAGCATTTGTAGATAGCCCCCTGGGTCTTATAGCCGGAACTGTACGTTATACGTTTTGACAATACTGCAATCGTGGTAAATGGATTTTTGACTAATCTTGAGATCATTTATAAGGAAACTATAACGAAAAAACCATTGTCCTAACTTCGCGCCCCTGCTTACCGCATACACGACTGTTCCCGCCAACAGTACCCAACAGAAAACCGTTACCATCTCGCGACACTCGCCTCGACTACTGTTCCCGCCACTGTTCACATCGCGACCCAACCTCATGGCTCGGCTGGTAACTCGCGCTCCGGTCCTCCGCCTCGACAATTCCCAACCTCAGCTCCAGGCCCGTCGCACACCCCAACAATTCGTTCGTTACCGTTACCACACTAGTTCACTATTTAACACTCGCTCTTTCCTTCGCTCAATGTATTGTTTTGCTTCAATAATGGAATCTTAGTTAGTTCACTCAATTGCACTAGTAACAGAAACGAAATGGATAATCCAATGCTGCAAAACAAATTTCACACCATTTCGTCGTCGAGGTGCGTCGCGCAACTTCACCAAGGCATCATCTGCGGCCAGGTTCCACTGCGTTATCCGAACTCCTGTTACCCGCTTCGCCAACAAGCCACGGGCTTTCCTGACAGGCCGCCCCTCACCCAAGCCTCCCATCCCATCCCATCCCATCCCATCCCATCCCATCCCATCCCATCCCATCTCATCCCAGCAGCTGCTTGCCTGTATCGCTCCCTGCTCTGATACATGCAACCAAACCAGCACCATTTTCTGCCCAACCCACTTCATCATTGACAGAACTCACGATCACGTTTGAGATTTTTTTTTGCCGTCGCCTTTCCACGGGCAGCACGACTGTCGATTGTGAAGGCAGTTGTGTTTGAAGTGTCTAAAGAAGTCTCAGAAACAGCGGGAACACGACGCGCGCCTGTTCCTTTGCCGGCAGCGTGAGCGCATGGAGGCTTATCCTGCTTCGCGCCACCCGCTACACGCCCGCTTGCACTCTGAAACCACCCTTCGCGCCCCCGCGTCCAATCACCAATGGCGGCCCTTAGTTCCGACGTCTCGCTATCAGCTTCTCCGGCATTCTGTATCGCTACGGTGGTCGCGTCTACCCGGTCGGCAGAGCGGGAGCCACGCGCGGAGCCGCGGTCACTTCAGCCGGCTCGTCGCTGCCGCGAGCGGCGAAGACGCGAATGGAACTGCTGCGAACGAAGCAGATAATATCGGGGATAAGGGTGCAGGGGCGAGTGCAAAGGCGGAGAGCGCGGAGCTGGCGGACATCCTGGCGCGCGTGCACGAGGAGATGGCGGAGGCCACCCGCGCCCAGGCGGACGGGCGCGCGTCGATCCTGCGGAGCATGGGGCGCGAGGGCGGCGCGGAGGGCGAGGCGGGCGAGCAGCTGCTGCTGGAGCTGCTGCAGGCGGAGGAGCAACTGCGCATGCGCGCGCCGGGGGACGCGGAGGAGGCGGAGGAGGACGCAGGGTCTTGGGAAGGAAGCGACGGCGCGCAAGGCGGAAAGGAATACAGGTGGACATGGAGAGGGACGAAAGGGGAGTAAGGTCGATATGTTACACCCAATACCGTTGTAACAGGTATTGACGATGTATTGTGTACACTATGGGCAACGCCCCTCGCTCCACGCACTCCTCGTTTGCTCCGCCCATGCTCATGCGCCCCCTTGACCTCCCCCCCCCTCCCCCTCCTCCCCCCTCCCCCTCCCCTCTTCCTTCCCCCCGCCCGCAGGCTCCCCCCACCCTTCTTCCCACGTCCTACTGGCTCCGCGGCCCTCCCCGCCGCTTCTGCAGCGCCTGCCGCTGCTGGCGGCGATGGGGAGAGTGATGAGAGCAGAGGCGCGGGCATCGATCGGGGGAGTGAGGGCGCGGGTCAACTCGAGACGCGGCAGGAGCTGGGGGAAGGTGGCGAGGAGGGCGGTAGGGGGACGGGGGAGCAGGAGGTGCCGGAGGGGTCAGTGGTGCGGGAGCAGCTGGCGGGGCGGCCAGAGCTGTGGCGCGGCGTGCACGTGGCGGGGGCAACGTGGGCGGTCGCGGGGGTAGCAGAAGGGGCGGGGGCTGGGCCAGGGCGAGGGGAGAGACCGGGGGAAGGAGGAGCGGGGGCGGCTGGGCCAGGGCAAAGCGGAGGGGGGGAGGCAGGGGCAGGCATCGGAACGTACCTGCAGGCGCGCGCGCTGCTGTGGAACATGGCGAAGAGCATGGAGCAGCTTGACAGCGGGCTGTCCGCCCGCCACAAGGTACCCGTGTGTGTGGACCGCCATGGCCGGTCACCGTGCCGTGCTGGGCCACTACGTTGCCACGTAACAGCAGCGCCTGCATGCCTTGCCCCGTAACCATCCGTAACCATCCGTAACCATCCGTAACCATCCGTAACCATGCACAGACACGCATCACACGCACAAACACACAGACACACTCACCCTCACGCCTACTCTCCCCCCCATGCGTGGCGTGGCATGGTGTGGCATGGCATGGCGAGCAGGAGATGGGCGAGTCAACGCAGTTCATCACGGGCATCCGCTCCAGCGAACCAGCTGCCGGCCAGGTGGGTGCCAGGCCACGTGGGTGGGAGGCCACGTGGGTGGCAGGCCACGTGGGTGGGAGGGCACGTGGGTGGGAGGCCACGTGGGTGGCAGGGCACGTGGGTGGGAGGGCACGTGGGTGGGAGGCCACGTGGGGGCGGGGCACGTGGGTGGCAGGGCACGTGGGTGGCAGGGCACGTGGGTGGCAGGGCACGTGGGTGGGAGGCCACGTGGGGGCAGGGCGTGTGGGTGGGGCTATCCGTGGGTGGTGGGGTGCGGGGACGGGGTTGGTGTGCCTGATGCTGTGCTCCTAGTGCATGCTGCGCTCCTAGTGCATGCTCACAGCATTGCTGGCACCGGCAGCGGGCAGGGTCACTGGTGGGCGCAGCAGGTTGGGTGTGTGTGGTAGCAGTGCGCTTGCACCCTGCATGAGGCATTGCTTTGTTATAGCGTGAGGCAGCACGTTGACATGTGCTCTATGCTGTGCACGGGGCATGTCATGGGAATGGAATCGTATGGGCACATGGGCATGGCATGTGCGGGCATGGCATGTGTGGGCATGGCATGTGCGGGCATGGCAAATGTGGGCATGGCATGTGTGGGCATGGCATGTGTGGGCATGGCATGGTGCGGGCATGGCATGGTGTGGGCATGGCATGTGTGGGCATGGCATGGTGCGGGCATGACATGGTGTGGGCATGGCATGTGTGGGCATGGCATGGTGCGGGCATGACATGGTGTGGGCATGGCATGGTGCGGGCATGGCATGGTGTGGGCATGGCATGGTGTGGGCATGACATGGTGTGGGCATGGCATGGTGTGGGCATGGCATGGTGTGGGCATGGCATGGTGTGGGCATGGCAGGGCGCAGTGGTGCGGAGGGCAGAGGAGATGGTGGAGCGCATGCAGGTGCAGTTCACAGCCATGGCGAAGGAGGCCGCCCACAAGGACACCGTGCTCCAACGCCTGCTCGCCCACGCTAAGTCCACCAAGCAGGTGCGCCCCTCATCCAACCAGGTGCGAGTTGACTTTTGACTTGACTTTTTGGTTGACTTTTGAGTGGTCTTTTGAGTCGACTCAAAAGTCCAACGCCTGCTCGCCACGCTAAGTCCACCAAGCAGGTGCGCCCCGCCCCACGCCGTTATGCCTTGCTGCCTGCGCTGCACCCACCGCCTTGAGGGGAGGAGCTCATGGCACCCACCCTTGCTCTCTTCTCTTCTGTGACCCCTCCTGTGATCTCTCCTGTGCTCCCTCCTGTGCTTTCTCCTTTCCTTCCTTCCTCACCTCATCTCACTCGCTTTCTTTTCTTTCATTTCTGCTTTCGCTTCAAAGAGTTCCTTCCTGCCTGTGTGCGCGCATGTGCGTGTGCATGTGTGCATGCGTGCATGGGGTGGCGAGGTGAGCAGCAACTGAGGCGGTGGAGGAGCGGTCGCGAGTGGAGAAGGACGAGCTGAGGAGGGAGATGACGGAGCAGCAGCAGCGCATGCAGAAGGTGCGCTGTGCTGCCACACACACACACCACCTGCCACACTCACGACCTGCCACACCACACTGCCCGCACCTCGCACTGCACCGCACTCTACCGCATTCAACATCCATATTGATAACCTCTTCCGTCCTCCATCCCCCATCTACCATTCCTCTCACTCACATCCTTTTCCTTCCTCTTCCCCTTCCGTTTCCGTCCCCTTATTTGTCTCGTCTCGTCTCCCTCTCCCACACCCCTCCCATCCATCCCCTCCTCTCCTCCCCACCACCCCACCACAACTGACCCACGTGGGCGGCCGTGCTGGCAGGAGCTGGAGTCGGCAGCGGGGAGGGAGGAGAGGATGAGGCGGCAGCTGATGGAGGCGCAGGAGGGCATAGCACACCGGGACGCCTTCCTGCAGCAGCTGCAGGAGGAGGCTGCGCTCTCCGCCTCCGCGCTCAAACAGGCCGCCAGGATGGGCTGGGGTGGGGTGGGGTGGGGCGGGGTGGGGTGGGATTGGCTGTGGTGGCGTGGGTAGGGAAGCGCATAGCAGCTGCAGGAAGAGGCCGCGCTCTCCGCCTCCGCGCTCAAGCAGGCCGCCAGGATGGGCAGGGGGGGATGGGGGTTTTGCTCGCCCGGGAAGGGTTTTGCTTCACAGCGTGGTGTCAGATGGGGTGGGCTGGGCTGGGCTAGGTTGCCGTGCTGTGGGTAGGGAAACAAGTAGAGGATAGAGTGATGGCTTTTTCCAGCAGCAACACACATTTCCTCATGCTTTATGCTTCGCCTTCCTGCCTCCCGGCATCGTTCCCTCCCCGCCCCGCCCCTCTCCCTCCCGCTCCCCTCCTTCCCCGTGGTGTGTGTGTGTGTGTGTGTGAGCGGGCGAGCAGGCGATGGTGGCGGCGCGGGACCGCACGTTGAGGATAGAGGAGCAGCTGGAGTCGATGGGAGACCAGCTGGCCAAGGAGCGCGCCAAGACCCGCCGTGAGAGAGAGAACACCGCGCGCGTCACTGCTGTACGTGCTCTGCCCTGCCCTGCCCTGCCCTGCTCTGCCCTGCCCTGCCCTGCCCTGCCCTGCCCTGCCCTGCCCTGCCCTGCCCTGCCGCGTGTGATAAGTCGATTTGTGAGTCGATGGGTGACCAGCTCGCAAAGACCCGCCGCGAGCGGGAGAACACCGCGCGTGTCACTGCTGTACGTGCGCCACCGCCTGGAGGGGGGGGGGGAAGAGGTGGACTCTCTCAAGGTGGGGTGGGCGAGGGAGGGGAGGGGAGGGGAGGGGAGGGGAGGGGTGGTGGGATGGAATTCACGAGGTGGCATGTGCGTGCCTCGTGGCAGAGGATGATGCTGTGCTGGTAACCCCTGGTCCGTGTAACCCCTGGTCCGTGTAACCCCTGGTCCGTGTAGCCCTCTCACCAACCCTCTCTCTTCCACCCGCCTCCCCACCCCATCTCGCGCCCTCGTGCTCCCGTGCGGTGTGTGAGCGTGAGAGCAGGAGGTGGCAGCGAGCAAGGAGGTGGCAGCGAGCAAGGAGGTGGCAGCGAGCAAGGAGGTGGCAGCGAGCAAGGAGGTGGCAGCGAGCAAGGAGGTGGCAGCGAGCAAGGTGAAGGAGGAGACCAGCACGGCGGAGGGGGAGACCAGCACGGCGGAGGGGGAGACCAGCACGGCGGAGGGGGAGACCTGTCAAACTTATATGCTATAGTCTATCTAGGCTGTAGTGGGGTAGTTCATATAGGGTACAACACTTTTAGGTTTCCTACTTGTACCCACCTGCTTTCTAGTTCATTCATTCCGTTCCTTATTCTAACATGGTATTCTGAGCAAGTTCCCTAGTGGGAACGTTTTTTTTTAGGGCCCACCACCATTATTTTTTCTGCCCTGCCCGAAGCGCGCCTCGCGCCCTGCCCAAAGCGCGCCTCGTGCCCTGCCCTGATACGGCCCATCGCGGCCCTGCCTTTGCTGGCCCGTCGCGGCCCCTGCTGCAGTCGCGGCCCCTACTGCCGTCGCGGCCCCTACTGCCGTCGCGGCCCCACCTGCCGTCGCGGCCCTAACTGCCGTCACGGCCCCAATTGCCGTCGCGGCCCCTACCGCCCGTCGCGCCCCCTACTGCCGTCGCGACCCCACCTGCCGTCGCGGCCCCTGCTGCCGACGCGGCCCCTGCTGCCGACGCGGCCCTCGCCCGTCACAGCCCCTGCTGTCGCGGCCCTGCCGTCACCACCTGTCGCGGCCCCTACTGCCGCTGCGACCCTTGCTGCCGTCGCGGCCCCTGCTGCCGTCGCGGCCCCTGCTACTGTTGCGGCCCCAGCCGTCGAGGCCCCTGCTGTCGCGGCCCCTGCCGTCGCCGCCCCTGCTATCGCGGCCCCTGCTGTCGCGGTCCTTGCTGGCGCGGCCCCTGCTGTCGAGGCCCCTGCCATCGCCGCCCCTGCTGGCGCGGCCCTTGCTGTCGTAGCCCCTGCTGTCGCGGCCCGGCCCTGCACCCGCCCCTGGTAAGCACCCGCGCCGCCCTGCTGCGCCGCGCCGCCAGAGGCTGAGCCGCGCCGCCCAGCCGAGCCGCGCCGCCCAGCCGAGCCGCGCCGCCCACTGAGCCGCGCCGCTCTGCCGAGCCGCGCCGCCCTACCGAGCCGCGCTGCCCTTCTGAGCCGCGCCGCCCTACTGAGCCGCACTGCCCTGCCTGCACTACTGCTACTGCTACCACTGCTGCCTCTGCTGCTACTGCTGCTACTGCTGCCTCTGCAGCTACTGCTACTACTGCTGCTATGACTAGCCCTACTGTTCTCTCCTTTGATGCTGAAGGACGTGCAGTTGACTTTGACGTGTGGGTTGACGACCTGCAGCTCTTTCTTCAGTGTGACTCTAGGGATGGGGTATCCCTTTTCGATCACACGTCCGGTGTCTCTACTGCACCTGCTGCCACTGCTGACAGTACGGTTTGCTCGCAGTGGACCACTCGTGACGCTGTTGCTCGTCTTGCTGTTCGTAGTCACCTGCCGCCTGCTGAGCGCGCGCATTTTGGCCAATACAAGACTGCTCAGTCTTTGTACGACGCTGTAGTTGCACGCTACTCCTCCCCTGCCACTGCTGCCCTCAGCCGCCTCATGCTGCTGTACCTTTTCCCTGACCTTGCCGCCTTTGCCACAGTTGCTGACCTCATTACTCACCTCCGCACAAGTGACGCCCGCTACCGCGCTGCCCTTCCCACTGAGTTCTGTGCCAAGAACCCCCCCCCCCCATGTACATCACCCTTTACTACCTAGTCACCCGCCTCCCTGACTCCCTTGCTTCAGTCAGGGACCACTTTCTCTCCCTTTGCTCCCCCGAGCTCACTGTCGACCTACTAGAGGAGCGCCTCGCTGGAGCTGAGAAGAGTATCTTAGCTGTAGGTGCTTCTCGCGGCGACCGTCGCACCCCTTTCTTTGAGGGGTGTTCCCCTGTCCCCCTTCTCCCCTCTGTTGCTTCTGCTGCTACTGACGACCTCGTTGGCACTGAGGAGGTGGGGACTGCGTCTGCTCCCAGTGGGAGGCGCCGCAACAGCAAGGGCAAGGGAAGCAAGGGTGGTGGAGGGGACGGCGGGGGCGGCGGCGGAGGCGGTGGAGGAGGCGGAGGGGGTGGCGGTGGAGGTGGGGGTGGTGCCGGGAGTGGGGGCTTCAGTGGAGGCGGTGGAGGTGGTGGAGGCAGCGGCGGAGGTGGTGGAGGCAGCGGCAGCGGTGGTGGAGGCAGCGGCAGCGGTGGTGGAGGTGGCGGAGGTGGTGGTGATAGTCGAGGTGCAGCCGCGCAGCGTGGAGGCTTAGGTGGTAGCCAGCGCCAGCAGCAGCCGCGTTCCCATGAGACCCCGTCGGCCGAGCAGCTTCGTGAGTGGTACGTTGGGCGTGGGAGGTCTGGGGGTGCTGGTCCCTACACTTACGTTCTTCGCACCGGCAGTCAACGTGGGAAGACGTGCGGGCTGCCACACACTGCGCAGCGCTGCTTCGGTCGCCTGACTGACGCCTGGCGCGCCCAGTTTCCTGACGCTGTTGAGCTCCCTCGCTGGGGTGATCTGCTTAGGTAGAATGTGGCTATCTTTGATCTTGATTTCGATGCTATTCTTGCTGCAATGTATGCTTTGACTGATAGTGCTGAGGGTGACTGTTACCCGAGTGTCCCGCACGACCCGGGCATTTAGGCTGCTGCTCTAGGTGCTAGTGCGTCTGCTGCTCCAGGTACTGGGGAGTCTGCTGCTCCAGGTACTGGTGAGTCTGCTGCTCCAGGTGCTGGTGAGTCTGCTCTTTCTGGTACTGCACCTACTGAGGCCTTGCACACTTTCACACTTGACTCTGGTGCTTCGCGCTCTTTCTTTCGCGACAGCACCACACTCACGCCGCTCAGTCGGCCTGTCGCAGTCTCCCTGGCTGACCCCTCTGGGGGCCCAGTCCTTGCGCACTCTTCCACGGTTCTACCGTGTCCTGCGGCCCCGTCGGGCTTGCTGTTGGGACTCCACATCCCCTCGTTCTCTACAAACCTGGTGAGTGGAGCTGACCTCCAAGACGCGTGGGTTGACCAGTTCACCCCTGGAGGTCAGCGTGTGACCCACTGCACTTGCTCTCGGACGGGCCGCCACCTGGCCACGTTCACCCGTCGGCCTGGGTCGAGTCTGTACACACTGACTACTGCGTCTCCTCCAGTCTCTACGTCTGGTCAGGTAGCCGCATCTAGTCAGGTGTTTGCTGCCGCGTCCAGGTCTAGTCCCGCGTCTGCCCCCTGCTCGTGTCGTCCTCTGGCGCACGAGACTCTCCTTTGGCACCACCGCCTTGGTCACCCCTCCCTGCCTCGTCTTCGAGGTATGGCATCCCGTACCCTTGTCTCGGGTCTACCCCGGTCCCTCCCTCCCCTTCCTCCGGGGCCTGCCCCTACCTGTGTTCCTTGTGTCGAGGGACGGCAGCGCGCCGCTCCTCACTCCTCCACGTTCCCTCCGACAGAGGCTCCTCTGCAGACTCTTCACATGGACGTGTGGGGCCCAGCCCGCGTCCGTGGACAGGGTCACGAGCGTTACTTCCTGCTGGTCGTTGACGACTACTCGCGTTACACCACAGTCTTCTCCTTGCGCAGCAAGGGTGAGGTCCCTGAGGTGTTGATTGTCTGGATCCGCGGTGCTCGTCGCCAGCTCAGCGAGCGTTTCGGCTCGGACCTTCCTGTTCTGCGTCTGCACTCAGACAAAGGTGGTGAGTTTTCCTCCGACCTCCTGAGGGCCTTCTGTCGTGCGGAGGGCATCCGCCAGACGTTCACGCTTCCGGCCTCCCCACAGCAAAATGGGATTGCTGAGCGCCGCATTGGCATGGTCATGGACGTCGCTCGTACGTCCATGATCCATGCGGCTGCTCCCCATTTTCTGTGGCCGTTCGCGGTTCAGTACGCTGCGCATCAGATCAACCTTCAGCCTCGTGTCTCCTTGCCGGAGACCACACCTACTCTGAGGTGGACGGGGAAGGTTGGCGATGCGTCTGTGTTCCGTGTCTGGGGATCTCGAGCTTTTGTCCGCGATACTTCAGCGGACAAGCTATCCTCCCGTGCCGTTCCCTGCGTCTTCCTTGGCTTCCCCCCTGACGCACTTGGGTGGCAGTTCTACCATCCCACCTCGCGTCGTATTCTGTCCTCTCAGGACGTCACGTTTGACGAGTCGGTGTCTTACTACCGTCTCTTTCCCTACCGTACTGCCTCTCTCCCCCCCCCGCCACTCTTCCTAGCACTAGGTACTCCTCCGGTAGACCCCCTCCCCCCTCAGGGTCCTGCCCCCTCAGGTGTGTCTCAGGTAGACCCTGCCGAGCCGGTCGAGGTAGCTGTCGACTCAGGTGCTGCTAGGGGTGCTGAGCCTGCGGGTGCGGGGACTGGGGGTGCAGAGCCTGGGGGTGCTGAGCCTGAGCGTGTGGAGTCTGGGGGTGCTGAGCCTGAGAGTGTGGAGCCTGGGGGTGCTGAGCCTGAGCGTGTGGAGCCTAGGGGTGCTGAGCCTGGGGGTACTGCGTCTGGGGGTGCTGAGCCTGCGCGTGCTGGGTCTGGAGGTTCTCCGGGTGTCCCGTTGCGGCGGGAGCCCCTCTCTCCGCAGCAGCTTCGTGAGTGCTACTGGTGCTGCTGGTGCTGTTGGTGCTGGAGGTGCTACTGGAGCTGCTGGAGGTGCTGCTGCTGCTGGAGCTGCTGGAGGTGCTGGTGGTGCTGGAGCAGCTGGAGGTCCTGCTGGTGGTGGTGCTGCTGGAGGTGCTGCTGGTGCTGGAGCTGCTGGAGGTGCTGCTGGTGCTGGTGCTGCTTGAGGTGCTTCTAGAGCTGTTGGAGGTCCTGCTGGTGTTGGAGTTGCTGGAGCCGCTGGTCCTGGAGGTGCTCGTACTGGAGGTACTGGAGCTGCTGGGGCTGGTGGTGCTGCAGGCGTTGGAGCTGCAGGTACTGGAGCTGGTGGTGCTGCGGGAGTTGTTGCTGGAGAACCTGAAGCTGAGGGTACTGGTGCTGTCTCTGCTGTTTCTGGAGGCACTGCGCGGCCGCGACCGTACTACGTTCCGCTCCTTCAGCAGGTTCTTGGTCTACCGCCTTCTCCTGGTCCTAATCCTCCTTTACTGAGTCCACCGCCTGTCCAGTCACAGTCGCAGTTACAGCCGACCTCTCCACTGCCTAGTCCTTCTCCTTACTCTGGACCGACTAGAGGTCTTACGGAGCGTCGTGAGCCTGAGTCGCGTCCTGTGTCGC